GATCGAGAACTCCAGTCAGTAACCAAAAAGAATGATAAGGACAAAGAAAACTGGATTGCAGAAAAATATAATTAACTCTCGGGAAATTGCTATCCTGAATACACTGTCGCTCATTAATGTATAAGACATAGCTGAGCACAAATCATAGGCTCATACAAAGCTCTCCATGTCGGATAAAATACAGAAATATTATGAAATTTTAAATAAATTTCATCGTTACTGACGAAATGATGCGGTATTACAACACGCCGATGTGGAAAAGTTAAAATTAAAAATTATTATATTCATGACTTATATTGTGAGACTTGGTATCATAAAAGCGATACTGTAGATGGGTGTCAGAATAGCCATGAATGTATGCTCCGTGCCAAGCTTCAAACAAACAAATAAACAAACTTTAATAAAAATAACGTAATCACAAATCAATTAATCAGTGTTCTTTGAACCCAAAGTACCTCAAACAAAGAAAAACTCCTTTACTTTTGGCAGAAAACTCCCATTTAACTCCCAGTCTGAAGTTATGGAAGGAAACCTAATTTTTTAAATATAAAGGATTTTCCTGGTAAAAAATCAATTAGATCAAATTCTAGTATTTTAATTCACCCTCTACCCTTTTATTTTATAATGCCACACGATTTTACGAGGAAAAATTACACTTCAGGCTTTGGCCACTTATCCACCCCCTGGATATGGCGTGCGCCAGGCCTATTGTCTCTATATGTCTCTCTAGTAACAGGCCATGGGCCTATTTCTTCAACGCCGACACTTCTATTCTATTCTATTCTAGGTAACAAGCTACAAATAAACTTTCACAAATATATAATACATAAATAAAATTATCTTCAAATTTTCCAGAGGTGGTTAAATGAGGTTGTTAACCTATTTCCCTTAAATTCACAAGACAGTGGTCCAATATTAGGAATTAATATTAATTTCATGATTAATATATGTATTAGAGATTAAAAATTATTTTAATTAGTATTATCAAGCCAAATGAGTTAATTCTTTGCAATCCTGTTGACATTCTAGAATTTCCGTCTTTCTGTATGCGATGAAGCACAGGGCGATAATGACATGAAAGAATTACAAATATATTAATTAAATATATTATATTAATTATTAAATATCTATAAATCATCGAGATATCATTAAGATGATCGGTTCATAAAGCAGACTTGAAATTCATATCGAGCGAGAAAATCCAGACTCACTAAATAACATGAATAAGAAATCGAAATGTAATTTCAATTGCGATTTATGAACACCTAATGATGACTTAATTAAATTCTAAATAAATTTGATTCACATATAGAAACGAGAAATGAACGGAAATCCTCAGTTCAGTTGGTGTTCCAGAATATATATTTCATGTGTATTTTATATCGTACAGAAACCGAGACAATTATACGAGATGTCCCTCAATATTGTGTGTTCTCAAGTTGTTGCTGAAGACGGAACATTTTACAAAATTAATTATTATGGTCATCAAATGTCATCGTTAAAAGCTATAAATTTTACCAACCGTAGATTTGTCAACTAACGCACCCAAATAAGTTAATGCACTCAAATGAACAGCAGACAAGACAGGAACTTGTATCCTACAGCTTACCTGCACTAGCTAACAGGAGAGGATGTCTCCAACTGATGAGGGTCACATCGCACGCTCCTTATATAAGCTAGAGGGAGGGGAGGTGGTGGGTGGATGGGGAGATATTTGGATGAAAGTAAATGTTGAATGGGAGTGTAGGAACATTATGGGAGATAATAGGAAGTGGAAGAATAAAAGGGAAGAGAATATGTAGCAGAAGAATGAAAGTGAGAATAATTTGAAGTGAAACTTTCGATTGAGGTAATTTTTATTTCACGCGCTACCAGTACTTGCACTGTTTCATATTGGCCCATTGCTCTTTTCATATGAGATCTCAGATCAATTACTCTGATTGTGAATAATGTAAAGCGACACCCTATCGAATTGGAGTGATTTTAATGGCATTATTCATGGTTATTCTTTGAAATGTCCTATAAATTTGTCATCAGTTCGTTTATTTTAGTAGCAATAATAACTTGGCCTGTCTTACGTTTTAGACATAAGGTTAAAAAATTCCTGTTCAATTGAAAAATTTACAGGATCATTAATTTATGTCAACAAATAAACAAATGCGATTATGTTTGATTTTTTATTTTGTAACGAATCACTACCTGAAAAAAATTTTGATAGTTAGATTATACATACAACTTATATATTTATAATTTCCGACGTTTTCTATCAATTTCACGTTATCTTTCATTTTTCGAGAAATTCACTCGAACAAAAAAGTCATCGATTTCTGTTTTACATATGTGAACTAATTTTCAAAACGATCTGTCCTTAAATAAAAAAGTTTTTTTACCGAAACGGTCTCCTTCAAAGAGGCAGGATTTCTTTAGGATTTCAAGACATTATGCGACTCTAAGTTCGTAATCTGCCGTATATAACGCATGAACTGATGTACATACAGCACGCCACGCATTAAATAAGAAAGCTTAGGAAATCATAAGAAAGCTTAGGAAATCATGGCTAATTTGTTAAAATATCTAGTTAGTGAAATTCAACTTATTTTTCGCAGCAAAATAAGTGATGGTAGGTATGGTCACCAGAGTCCTGCTCACTGGTACCTACGGCATCTGCGCTTTAAAAGAGTGAGACTAAAATAATAGATTTGTTCCCCAATCAAATGTGTCTTAAATCGATAGTCACGTTTCTACTCTATCAATAAGAGCATTTACATTAAATTTCATTCGTTTACGTGCGTAAATTATACAGTTCTAAATACTAACCACTTACAATAAATGAAAGCGTATATTATGGGGATTATTCCTAACATCTTCGTTTTACTTCCTTTAGAATGACTATATTATGCCGATTACACGAGATGGACAACTTTTTCCATCAGTCGGGCCCACCCAAACACTTAGACCAGCGGATTTTAGCCCATCGTGGGTAAATTGCTTGGCGTATGCAATTCACAGTTCTTTATTTGTCAACTTTAAAAGTATTCGCTCTCTCGGTATCTTGGTACTTGTTTGGGACATATAGTAGTCCCAGGTCTGATAGTCTGATACACATAGTCTGATTGCATAATAAGCTTCTGTGCTCATCAGCCTGGGCCAGATATCATAACATCGCCATGTACGCGTAGCGACTCTAATGTTGCACAAGTACTGCTATGAATACCTAGCTCCTGCTGTCAGACGTGCAATGGGTTCTCGCGTTCCTAGAAGCATTGTTCCTGAGCGCCCCACATGTGGGGTTGTTATGTAGGCAGGATTCCTAACATTAACACCTTTGTCTCTCTAGTAAACGATTTCGTCTGAGTGTCTTCTTTGCTGTTGCTTTCCACCTCTCCCTCCTTGTCACTTCGTTTCTTTGAGATGCTAACGCTGCTTCTTCTGTGCCAGCTTCAGCGGCACACTCGAAACCTCTCGCCACTTGTAATGATGAACGATTTTTGATTTGAGAAATTGATGACAATGGAGTCTTACCATCTTTTCGGTGATTATTATTTATGACATTAGGTGCAAGATAGCTAAATTGAAACGCTAGTAAACCATTCGCCATTTCATTCGGTAAGGTACAGGCAAATTTTATCCTTTTCTAAATTATAATACTTTTGAGTCATCGTGATTGTGAGTCATCGTCCTATAGTACGTATAGCACGTGAGATTTACTCATTTTTTTGTGAAACGAATACTCGAGACAACTAGTCTCGTTAGCAAAGGAGTTGCTGTCATCTAGCATGTTTGATTCTTGATAACTGTTGTATGCCGCAAATATTGAAGGCTCATGTCAGCAAACTTCGCTGCGACCATCAATCCGTCAGAACGAACAATAAATCTTTCTGCAGAAATCACAGAGCACTAGCTGGACTATAGACTCAGCACACTCTCTTGTGTGTTTTAAAAGATATGTTCGATTATTTTAAATGAAAAAGATGGCGCATTCTTCCAATTCACAGAAATTGTAGCGATTGTAAGTTATAATCCATAAACTGGATTGAACTACTGATTCATCCTTATTCTTCCCTCAAACTCGAAATTAAAACATTAAGTAATTTAATGGTGGATGAAACAAATCAAAGTATAACTGCAACAGTGAAACAGTTAAATTTCAGCTAATAATTACTCGGAACTTTACTACAGTTCACATTTATTATCGATGAAGTCTTATCCTCTCAGAAGCCCTAGTATTATGCTCTTCGAGTCATACACTGCTACGTTGAGCAATTCCCATTAATGTTTCGAGCCATCGTTATCAAACGATAAATTTTCCGTTATCAGAAGGTAAATTTTTCGTGTGATCTACAGCACTGCACTGTCAGAGTTGACGAATTTCCTCGCAGTTTGTTTCGTAAACTAGAATGTTTTCGCATCAAACTCGCGTCGCAGCCATCTATTTGAACGCAGCATGGGAGTCAACAGGCTGCTGTTCTCACCACTTGAGTCAAGGAGACTAGAAACACGTGTCGCCTACGCATCGATCGTTGTAAGACACATGAAAGCTATAGTGTTTTATCGTCGGGGTGAATTATTATTTTCAAACTTACTTCTCAATACGGTAGTCACAAAATGCAAGTAGATAATTTGTATTGCTCCAAATTAACTTAGAAGCATTGTTACCTAATTTCGTTCACTTTGAAATTTAATTGACATCTATCCATAGGACACTTGTTCGAATAGTTCAATCCAGTTCAATATGCGCCGCAGGCTTCACTAGTCAATGCACCGACCAAATGACGTGTCCAGTAAATACTTCCAGTGAATTATCTTTCCCCCATGACGTATGAATAACGGACTCCCATGAAGTATGAATAGTGATAATTTTCAAAATACAGTGTAGGAATTCAGCAGATCGCCTCAACCATTCGGATCACAAGGCACAACAAAATTGTATGGTCATTCTTGTGCTCCCTCAGTTGTTCCAGGAAAAAATGAGGGCGAATCCAGGGAATTAGACTATTATAGTTTCCATACTCTTTAATAACGCACTCAAGATCGGCCAATATGAGGCCAGATGGTAAAAAAAATGACAGCGTCTGTGTCAACAAGGATTTAAGGCAGGACTGAGAAACGATCAGCTAATCGTCGGAGTCTCTGCAGCAGTCGCACGAGCTGTTTTATTCGCTCGAGCTGTTAGATTCGTTCGAGCTGCTGTAGTCGTCAGAAGGCAGCGGTGTCTCGGTAATAACGAGGCGTTGCTCCCACAGTGACATAGCCACGGTCATCTGTCCAACAGGGAAAGATGAGACAAAGACTCTTCGTCATTAGCAAGTAGGATCGTTAGAGTAACTTCTGTTTATTAAAGTAAATATTCTAAAAAATATCAACATAGAATTATTACGACAAAAGCGCCTCAGGTACACTTCATAAATTTATTAAGCAAGCGGCTATTAGTATATATATATAGCTATCTGTATCGACACAAGTCTACCAATTTCTTGCGGGAATTGGCACCAACCTTATCTTCGAGTGTTGCGAGAGGTAGATCCTCAATAGCTGTGTAGCGAGGATACATGATAATGAGATGCTGCACAGCCGGAAGATGCTTCTTGTCCACAACGACGAACTGCTCTTCACGCCCCTCGTACTCGCGACTGTTTTCCACGCTGTGGTACACGCGATACTCGTCTTTGGCATCCCCCCATTCCTGCACCACTCTGGGAAAACAGAAAGCTCTTTATTCACATGATACGAAAAAGATCAACAGTAGCAAAACTCCAAAATTGAACAAATATTTTCAATTGTCATTATATTGATTGGCAATTGATGAATAGTAGGCACTAAGCATTGAGAAAACCATTTTATCTAGAAACGGATCTAACCTGAGTGTCGAGCTGCCCAGTAGCTTGATCTTAGTTTCAGGCTCGATTTCGGCTCTGCCTCTAAACATAGTTGAGTGCCAGTACTCTCCGTCATATTCTACGGTGCACTCTTTATCAGCTTCAGTGGGGCATGGAGGCAGTGCGACGCGCACGAACTGGCGCGCGAATTCATCCATGGCTCGGTCCAAGACGTCCTCGGTAAGCATGCTGCTAACCCGTGACATCACTTCCTCCTTGAATTTCTTGCGGAGATTGGAGATATTGCTACATCTTTCATTCTTCCAAACATCATTTGCATATATTTGAGCCGCAGTTGAACCCATGTAGCCTATGCAACCTATAGGCAAGCCCTTCCTTAAGGAGACGTCTTTTTCTGCCATTCCATTGAGTGAAGCAGGCGAGAAGATTTTTTCAAGAACGTCTACCCAAGCATTTTTCTGGTACATGGATATCGTGATGTGAAGAGAATAAGTGTCAGATACGGCTTCAGCTTGATGGATATAACCACGAGGGAAGTAAAGAGTGTCACCTGGTTCGAGCACAACGTCAATGATTGGCTCTCCTATCTCTTCTTGGGTCAGGTTGGGTGAAGAATACCGCGGCAAAACTTCTTCGGCAGAGCGAGGATTGTAAACTCGCCACCTTTTCTTGCCTTCTAGCTGCAAGACGAAAGCTTCGATATCATCCCAGTGTGGGGCAAATCCTTGGGTGCCGGCTGGAGTGAGGTAAATATTTGCACCACAGAAGGAACCGAAAAGTTCTTGCAGAACACTAAGAGTACGCCACACTGGCTCGTGGAACGTCTGAGGGTTGAGCAGGCGCAGCGAGCATCCATTACTAAAGTAGTCCCAAACTACGGCCGCGTAGGCACGACCTGATGGGTTGTGTGTCTGCCTGACGCCATCGCTGTATGATGTCACGTCCAGGTTTTTGGTGTACTCAATGTATTGCTCGCGTAGAATTTTATCAAAAGTGTCCATTGAAAAAAGACCATCGAAATAATGAGGGAGTTTCCTCTGAATCAAGATCGGCTTAGATTCCCAAAAATCGTTTTTGAAGTAGGAATAAAAATCCTTACCTGGATAATGAGAATATGATTTTATTAAATATGCAAATAGAGTACGACCGCTGTTCTTTGAGTCACCAACACAGTTCAAAGTATTTAAAAGCTCTGTAAAGTTCTTCGGTTTTACAGTCAATTTCCTTGGCTTTGTGTTGATTTTGGGTCTCATACTAAATGTTGATATTTTTTCTTTCTTCACACACCCATTACCATTTTCATTTGAGGTTGAGTCGGACTTTGCAGAAACTGAAAAAGCCAGTGATGAATTACTTTCTGGACGTAATTTTTTTGCAAGCAAGCCAGTTGATAATTCATCACTTCTTTGATTCATTGCTCTTTCTGAATGATTTTCTAATTTTTTATCTTTTATTTTCTTATTTTTTAATGGACACTGTTTAACCACACGGTTCTCCATTTCCAAATTACTTGATAAATCACAAGATGTTTTTTTAATTTGTTTATTTTTTTGAGGCATGGAACTTTTTTTTGTCTTAGCCACGACTAGAGTTTTATCTTGTACAGTCAATAGTGATGCTTCACAATTCCTGGCTGATGAGCTTCCTTGGCCAGGAGCCTTAACTGTCTTGACCAACTTGTCAATTGCCTTGCCTTTTTTGCTTTTTTTCTTCTTCATTGGAACGGATAGCTTCTTTTTCTGCTCGGCAAACGTGTACAATACTACATTAATATTTTTAATATGACAAATTGATAAATCAATCCTTACCAATAAGTTTGGATCCGATTAATAAAATATGACACCCGTTAGATATACCAATTGATCCAAGATTAAACATTTGTTTAATGTTTTGTAGTTTGACTAGGATTATATGTTGTGCCTACAGCACCTCACCAAGAATTTAAAAATGATGGAAAGTTTTAGGAAAATTGGCCAGATTTTCATTAAACCATCTCAGAAATCAGCTCAATCATCAGTTAAAAATTCAATAGTACAAATATGATCAAGAAAAGACTAAATTAAATCATCCGGGTTAAAATCTAAGCAATAATTTTTAAAGATATTCAAGGATCCCCAAATCCTCAGCACTAAGGATGGCAGCTAAATTCTTTGTATTACTTTCAAACACAACATAAGCATAACACACAATGTTCAGCCTGAAGGCACACAGCTGAATGAGGCAGAAGAGCACACAGATTTCTGTAATAGTACCCCTTTCAACCGGTTTGGTTGAAAATTCTTAATATTTTTGCCTGCAATGTTATTCCAATATATCCTGATGTGCAATGCACATAACCTTACTCAGAAACCAGAGAGAACTTCATAAAGTTATGAATAGTATTCCATTACCTGAAAGCAGTTGGAGCTAATTCCATTAATAGCTACAGTGTATCAATGATCAAATCTAATTCAATTTGAAACAAAATGAAACATACGTAACTAAAAAAAACTAGTGCGCAAACCAGCAAAAGTTAATTCCTGAATAATTGAAGCAAAGGCTGATGTAAGAGGGATGGATTCTAAATGAATAGGTAAATTGGCTAGCCGAGAAACCTGGTAAAAGAAGAAAATATTTGCACACAGGAAAAACAACAACAAGCAGTTTGTAAAAATTAACACCATAAATAAATTCAAACTTATAATTCCAGAATATATACTGAAAAACAGATGTCTACATCAATGACATCTATTTTAAACAGAGAGCAACAATAGTTTGTCGTTTCTCAATTGCAAGGTATATAAATAAATCTGCCACTTTCAGACCATCTTTTCAAAATCCAACTTATTGATTTGAACTCAAGCTTATTAAGCTTTTGTACATTTAATCTTAAATCAAATGAGATTCAAACATAGATACAACACACTTATGGAATTTTCTTTACTTTGCATGTGGAGCTCAATTTAAAAGTTCATGCCAGAAAAATATTCTGAATGGAGTCCCTGGATTTATAGTAAAGAAATTATTTATAGCACTTGACCATTGTCAATGCCTCTGAAACTATGGTGCAAATTTGGTTACCCATTCGTTCATTTATACATGTATTCTTGAATTTTGATCTGAAGTAGGTGTTCTTTGGAATGCTTTCAATGAAAATATTGAAAATTTGTATTTCATTTTCCTTACTTTTTGAGCACACAAATAAAAAAATACCACATTTAGGCATTCAAAAATACCACATTTAGTCCGATCATGATGTATGATGGATGCTAGCTGTCAAAATCATCATATCACTACAGTAAAATTTAAAAGCAAATGCTAGAGTAGTTTAGATTAAATTACCTGAGAAACATAGAAGCTGACAGCAGACTGCTGTCTCTGAGTCGAGTGTGATGAAATGGCAGGCATCTTTTTTCCAGTAAATTCCTCAAGGTGAGAATATTGCCAACCAATGCAGTAAATATCTGCGGATAAAAGAAACTAGCTTTAATAACAGTAAAAAAACTTCAAGGAAGGTCAGCTTGTTGGCAAAAGATACATTGCATTTGACCAATGAAACTTTGAAGTGTATTTATATATTGTCACACTTCAAGCTGGAATTGAAAAATGAAAATGCACCTTGTCGAGTCTTAGCCCCAAAGTCTACAAAATTGGTGCATGTCAACTGATCTGGATAGCTAATGTAATTAAACAGTATTATTATAGCACAACACTCCCCTGCATGCAACATTGTAGTACACATATAAATATATATTTTTTTCAATATATATGTGTATCGTAAAACAGGGCGACTTGGACCGTTTTGCCATTTCATTCAAGAAAAGAAAACCCTGTACTCAGAAAGTTCTTGCCTTAGAAAAATTTTGTTGATTACTCTTGAGGTACTATGAGTACGAGATATCCTACAAATGCAAGAGACATATTTTATACATTTACATGTGATTATTTGAATCACAAAAAGGTACCAGTAAGTGCTACAAATGGTCCAACCGTCCAAGTCACCTTGTTTTAGAGTACTCAAAGTTGTGCATTATTTTATTTCATCTCTCTGCCATCCAGTAGCCCAAATAATGAAAAACAAGCTTTTCCCAATACCGTCAAACGGGGTAAAAAGGGACGGTTTTGAGTTTTTTGTTAACCCTTTCGCGGGTAAGTTACCATATATGGTAATTAAAATGGGAGTAAAAAAAAGCCCCCCACATCACCCACATTGCTTGAGGCAGCCTGCCAACAAGCTCCGACCAATCACAGATCATGTATGAGTTACGTCATGTCAGGGTTGGCAGTGATTAAATCAAAATGATTAAATCATGTGATTAAATCACTTGATTTTTTTATAAAAAATCATGATTTTTTTATTTTTTTATTTTTTTTTTTTATTTTTTTCATATACCTATTTAAATATATTGAGTGGCAGTCTTTAATTTATATTGAGGTATTGTTATTCATGGTTTAGTATAAATGTACTATGAATGACAAATTGGTATATAAACTTGNTTGAGTTGTGCTTGTGCTGTACAGTACACTACAGACCTACAAACTACAAAGCTACAATGACTACCTGTCTCTTATACACATCTAGATGTGTATAAGAGACAGGGCTAATTGCAACATAAAAAAGAACACTTCAAAAAGACAAAAAAGTTGAAAAAATCAAAAAAATCAAATAAATAAAAAAAATCATGAAAAAATAAAAAAAATCATTGATTTTTCATTTATTTTTTATTTTTTAAAAAAATAAAAAAAATCGCCAACCCTGCGTCATGTATGACGTAGCGCTCTGACATGCTCTTTTGTCTGTGTGAGCTAAATTAAAAACTAAGTTCTCTGAAGAAATGGCAAAACGGCATTTCAGGCCCTCATTGTATTCACTTTAGCAGCTCTAGCCCATGAAGAACTGTAGGAAAGGCCATGATAGTTGCTAGTATCATAGTTAAAAACTTGCTTTATCAACTTATTATGATGCCATTTACTTGCAGCAAATGCAAGATGGTGAAATATAATGGCGAAAATTATTGTGATCATATATGAGCATACGCCTGCCAATGCTTAGAGATGGAAGTGACTATGTTTGGTCATATGCCCGCTAAAGGTGAATTTCTACAGTGCTTGGTAAATATGTTTGTTAGCATTTAGTGGTTAGCGGTATTATGACTTAAGCCATGTTTTTCAGTCTAACGTGACTATAGTTCAGCACTTGATGCTTTCTCTGACTTTGACTGCAGTCCATGCTCATGGCATTCCCTTCGTTACAGAACATAGAGCCAACGCAGTTGCAAGCAAGATGGTCTCTGTACTGACCCAGACGATAACATGTCCTTCACCAATACAAATTCTTACTGACAATTAATTCACAAGTTTTAGGTATATGTTGTATATGAATGTGATTCTTTACATACGGCATGGATGTCTCATCATATGGATGGTCTAGAAATATCTTGCCATAAAATACTAAATGTACCTATAATTTTTTTCAAATTGCTTCCTTTGTATGCGTTATAATACATGCATAAAAGAGCAATCAAGATGTTGTCCACCATCTAAACAGTAAACTTTCAATGTCAAAATCTGCAAATTTTTTATACCTAAAGCCGGCAAGGCCCCATATATGATCACTTCAATAATTGTGATTTACTACTTATATACATACAAAATTTTTCGAAAAATGCTTACGAGTAAATATATCTTAGAATAGGTCATACTTTTAAGTACAATCATCAAATATTGCAATTTCATTGCATTTCTATGTCTGCCCAGGAAAGGGTTAATAACTTCTTACCATGAAACATTTCAGAAACAAGTTTTGGCTAATTTTATAGCTCTTTGCGAGGGCTATCGAATGGCATCTTCAAAAAAATTCCATGCTATTCGTAAGGTGCCAGACCCAAAATAAAACCATCCCAATTTACGCCTGGGAACGGGGTAATCTGGGACACTTGCAATAAAAGTTGATTTCAAAACGTTTGAAGCATGCAGAGTGTAGGTACTCATCCATTACTAACAGTACTCTGAAGTCCTCCTCTTTCATTGTAGATGATGTAGATGTAAAATAAATAACATTTTCTGTGATTTTCACTAGTTTTTCCCATATTGATATGATATTACCATATTCATTAATTACAGTATTATTAATGTGATATTACTGTATCCATGGACATGCCATTGAGCACTGACAATGACCTTGTCCACTGCAAGCTTCATATCAGCAGCCATGTAGCAGCCATGTGGCACCATGTGTAAGCTTACAGGATGGTTTTTAATTTTGCACAATTTTAATCAAGTCAAGTGATTTCACTATAACAAAAAAGATCATGAAAAACATACCTGAAAAAGTAAATAATGTTTTAGTGACAACCATGAACCATCATATGTTTTGGAGAAATAAATCATAGTTTAGGTCAATTACTTTTCATTCTATGATGCATGTACAATTTTGTGATGACTGATGATGCACTATTTTTTTGATAAGTGAATTTTTTGTTGCTGAGCATGATAAATGTAATCAAAATTCTTTTTTGTTAATCAATTTTTTTGTTAACTGGAGCCTTTGCTAACTGAGGTTCTACTGTAAATGCATTTTTAAGGGTGTCCCTAATTACCACCGGGGGGACGTCCCTTTTTACCCCATTACGTGAAAATGGCTGCCATTTTTTGGGGGGAATGAGATAGGCAAATTCCGTCAAGTACATTTTCAAGCCAACACCTGGGTGCAACTCTTATGTAAGTAAAATTTTTTAATAGAGCGAATATTTTTTGTTTGCTCCAGACCTTAGCAGAGGTACTTTTACTCTGACAGGCTTTAAATAATAGCTTTTTTTCGTGGGTCACATTTTTAATTTTTTAACCTATTAGATATGCAAACTTTTTAAATCTTTCTATTGTGTTATGTAGCCTCAGTATTAGGCCTTTAATGCCCATTGACAAAATTTTTCTAGGTCAAATAGGTAGGCTAGTTTTTGAGTTTTGGGGGTTTTTGTTAAAAAAACAAAAAGTGGTCCAAGTTACCCCGCCGGTCTAAGTTACCCCATTTTACAGTAGTATACATAGTGGCAAACCAGAGACTTTTTAGAATCAGTTCATTTTTAATTTCCTCATTTACTCAATATTTAAACCAATTTCTTATGTATGATAATGCTGGTATCCATGATACTTTACTGGTCTACTTATAATGCTCAAAATTGAACTTGAGGGAAAGTCTAAAAAACTCTCCGCTTTGCCACTATGGTAGTATATATATAGTATATTGTCATCAATTTTGAAGCTTTAACAAAAATTTGCTTTAGAGGATTTTAGGATTGTGTTTTTAAAAACACAAGCTCAGTTTTCATTTATTTTAATTTGGTGATATCTGCTGGTGTGAGTAAGCTAGCAGCTAGCTAGTACTATGTAGTAATAGTATAAAACCAGTGAACATGAATTATGAGGAGTTGGTTTTAGAGTACCTAATGGGTCACATTGTGCAATTAGGAGTGACGCACTTCCTGCACGTTGCACATAATTTGGACTTTTAGAGGCTCTGAGGGCTGAGGCTGCAAGCCTGCACCCATCATGCATAGCTTAGCAGCCTTAGCTAGTGGAAATTTGGAAAAGCAGGTCTTTTTTCAGACTCTTCACAGTCTTCCCGAACTTCCCCAAGTTCAGTTTTGAGTTCAATAAGTAGACCAGAAAAGTATCATGGATACCAAGTTATTAGGTACCAACATTATCAATACAATATACCTACATTATACAAAAGCTATTAGTTCAAATCTTGCCTAGTTAAGGAAATTAAAAATGAACAAATTAATAAAAAAGTAAATGCTCTGGCAGCTCTGCCAGCTCTGGTTTACCAGTACCACCACTCCACCAGGGCACCAGCACGGCAGCACCCGACAGTCCGACACTAGGCAGTACCGCACTAGGCACTGTAGGCACTAGGCAGCAATATTTAGCTCCGCAAACAGCAGATAGAAGAAGTTCAGATAATAAAATCTAGAGAGGCCTTTGACAATGTATAACAAAAACTGGGAACTGATAAATCCTGCACGTTCACGAATCACAGTTACTACCGTAGGCCTACCGTAGCCGCGTAGCGTAGCAGTCAGCAATTCCCCTCTTCAGGCTCTTCACGGCTAACGCAGCACCGAGCACGTGTTCACTGTTCACTAGTCATTACGGTAAAGGGATGATAGGGAATCATTGGTAAGTCGGTATTGCCTGGTAACGGTTACGGAGATGGTTAAAAGAGAAAACGGTCAATTTAGCTCACAAAAAGCCACTAATGGCTTTATTTCACGAATAACATCAGATATATTTTAACTTTATTCCTAAGTAAAATGGCTAAACGGGCTACTCAATGAGAGTTTTCATAAAAGAATTGTGACGCTGACCTAACCTTCAATTTTCTCGAGTCCATGGTTAGTTTTAGGCATGGTTGAAGTTCAACCATGAGTTTTAGGCTAGGTACTACTTGTCCTTCAAATAAAATCATTCATAATTGAAATGGCCTTATAGCCATATTACTTGTCAATAAAGTAAATTTGAAAAATCATGCGCCCCAAACACGGGAGGTGGGTAACAGAGTCGGTGGCATGGTTTTGTGTGCAATGCTTCATCGAAATCTCATCAGTGGTAAGAGATAGATTTTTTTTTCATTTTGTACAAGGTATCCTGCAGTAACTTACGTGCAATTCCTCATCGAAATCGGTTTAGTTGTTTGAAAGATATTCCTTGCAAACATTTGGATTAGACCAAGTATTCCAAGTAAAAGTGTGTCGAATCGGTACTAAAGTAATGCTTTTTAAAGCATCAACAGTTCAACACCAGCATGCTTTTTTACTTTATTTAACAGTAAGCGATAAAGCTATAATTTTACAACTGACATCGCGCTTGCATAGCTTTCAATTTCTTACATGACTAAAATTCTTCAACGATTTTAGCGAACAATCTTAAAATATATCACATCCGATCAGCTCCTGCATTTTTTTTATTATAGTTTCGGGTATGGCACAGCTTGTTATACTTCGTTAATAAACTTAAAGGATGAAAAGGAATTAAGATTTCAGAGTCGTTGGCAGTAATCGAACTCAAATTCAAATAAAAAACGCTTGTTTGGGCAAATATTCAACTAACTAATCTAAGCGCGTTCAGAACAAATAGAAATCGCTAAATCACACAGAGAAGGTTCATGCTATGTGGGAGCTGTTTGAGCGACTCTCCTCTGTCGATCATACTTCGCGGTGCGTTCTTTATTATTCAAGGCTTAAAAACAAATCCTCTGGAAACACGTGAAATCCATCAGAATAAAGTCAAAATGTTTACTGCTTGATATAAATCTGTACGCTAGAGCTTATTTTTTCAACTAAGTTTAGTTAGAATCAACTATAAATAGTCAAGTTCGTAAACTGCCAACCCGTTTTGGTGAAGTTCAACATTCATCTCCCAATTCGCTTCTTCGCGTAAGGCAACAGAACAATCACAATTGAGCCACTCAGGGCAGCCAAAAAAATAATGCATCTAAGAAAGAAAATTAAAATAAGGTTGTTTCTTATAGGTATATATTTAAACCAAGACATCTTTATACGAGTGAGACAAACGTACATTCAAGGTACTATTTTAAACATTATTCACAAAGACTTCTGGAGAAATTGAATTTTCTGTAGTGTATTCGGGATCAATGCATAGGAAACTTAATAAATTTACCTAACGAAAACTACAATTCTTATGGCCAGGCACTAGTTATGTGGGTAATGCAGTGCAAATCAGTACAAAATACGAGGACTAAAGCAGCCTCAAACGAAAAGTAATACCAGCAAGTTTTTTTCTGGAAAAATACTACGACTTCAAAACATTCATACGTGAATTTTATTTATCAACATACATAGCATGATCAATTCATCGAAAAAGAGCCCTTAGATGTTGAGCACGAAATGCCCAACATTATTATACATCACTCGCAACCAAGTTCGTGGACGTGAATCTTCAATACATCCATTACTCGCAGAATTCAGCAGAGAACAGGGCGGTAAGGGTCTCGTCACTTATGAGGTTTCGTTTTTTAAATAAAAATTAAAGAAAATATGTAGATGAGAAAATTTACTGTCCCGTTTAATTAAGTTCTAAAGTGAACATCACGGGAAGAGTATGCCATCTATTATTAAATATGAACTGCGAACTGAAACGAAGTTCACTATGGCGGAGTGAGAACTGCATAAGAAGTCCGGGATCGATCATTAACAAACTTCGCAGCAAGTAAACATGAAGCCATTATCGGCTCGTCATCCCCTAACTTCAGGCAATTTGCCTGTCTAACAGACAGATCACTCCAATCGTCGATTCTTAATCTCTTAACCACGATTAGTGGCAGTAGCTGTTCGAAAACAGTTATTGCTGGACTGCCTCCTAACTATTGCTGATACCAACAAACGTTCAAAGGGCCCACTGATGTGAACCACCCACGTTAATCATCAGCCCACTTAATAAAGAAACACGAAATTTATAGAAACGATTGCAAAATAAATGTCGACTTTTTTTTCGTATTATTTCGAAACTAAGATGCGAAGATAACTAATCCCTCCTCACATGCCCAGTGGCAGAAGTTGAAGAGCAGTCATGGCATCCGGGAAAAGCGAGTGATAGCTCATCACTGGCACATACGCTGCCGTGATCATTTTACCTGCAATAGAGTATTTATGTGAAAATATGTAGAATTACGCGATATAAACAACGAACTAGCGAGTCAACTTAAAAATTAAAATTTCATCAATGACACAAACGAGTAGGACTTGACAGATTTTCAGCCATATCAGACCAAAAAATAAACAAGTTTATCAAATAGTACACGAAAGTGATTATCAACTAGACTAATTTAAACGATCCAGAAGTTGGTTTGAAGCACGAGTTGCATTACACACCAGCAAACCAACGGCCGTGTAGGGCATTGACAGATGCGGCGGCAGTGGCAATAGATGGGCACTTGACATACACGTTGCCCTGCGCCGACTGCTTGTCAACGAAGACGTGGAAGACACCGCCGTGCTTGTTGCACTCTTGGATTACATCGTCGCGGATTTCGTTGGCCCAGTTAGGAGCCTGCTCTGAAGTCGGGTCGAACATGTTGGATAGTAGGAAACATTGCGTGGCGATAGGAGGCGTGGAAGCCTGCATAGCTTGTATGGGCATGTGCAGAGCGTTCACTGCAGCAGGAGGTAACTGCAGCCCAGTGCCCTCCGCAAGCTTTGCCATAAGCTGAAGTCGCTGAGTCGCTCCTGTTAGAATGAATAACCCAAGTAATCGCCAAGATTCTACAATGTGCGAATAAAGTAGAACTGTTATTTCCTCTTAATTCTTTATCATGGGCCGGTAGAATGAATGAGCCTGTTATATATGTAAAAAAAATATCAATGTGAAAGATTTTCAAAACTCAACGCTTGAGTAAGTTTGAGAAAAAAATTGTTTAAAATCATCAAAGAACAGTGTCTTCAACTCAATACAATTTACTGAACTAATCAATAATTAGCATTGCTATCATCACATTACTAACAACATTAGAATAATGAATAGCACATACGATTCATAAGTTAGCTGACAATTATGCTGCAACCTGAAATTTGAAGAAGATAAACTTGGATGAAAAAAGTTATTTCGACAAAAAGTACCCAATTCGACGCCAGTTCTTTCTTTCTCATCGAGGTCAAGCAATGAGCTGCCTTGGCTGTTGTCGTTGCGGTCGGTGACGTGGTTTACTTTCATGGGGCGGCCAGCGAGCTCGAAGCCGTTCAATTGCTCCAGGGCTTTCTTGGCATCTTCACTGTTGTGGAACTGGAAAGAAAACATACACAATATACGTCAGGGGAAGTCATTTCAAAACACTTAGCCGGTAAAATAACCACAAGCACCATGAAGGAATACCAATATAAAAGTTAGAAATTTGATTTATCCATCTTTGTTAAAGCTGTTCCAGGATGAAAACAAAGCCATTGGAACGGTTTGTAAAATGATTAACATACCTACTTCAAATGTGATGCGCTGGCAAAGCTGAAGAAATGAATTTAATGCCAATTTATTCTGTTTTATACTAGAATATAATGCAGACTAAAATTGACCAAGCATGAATACGTGTCAAAATCTTACCGTTACAAATCCATAACCTTTCGAACGTCCTGTTTCTGAATCCATTATGAGTTGAATAACGTCTATCTTCCCGAAAGGCTCAAATATTCCTCTGAGCATTTCTTCGGTGATGTTGAAGTGAAGTGAACCAACATATAATCGCATGGGGCCAGACCCAGGCTTGGTACCATGGTCAGGATTGTTCATATTAGCAGCCCTGTTGCGTTCAGCCAGTGTAGGCTGCACCACAATAGGGACACCGAGCAATTTCTGACCCGCCAATCCCAGTGCCAGCGGCACAGATTCTACGTCTTCAAACTCGACGTAAGCGATGCCCTTCGAGCGCCGCGTCTTAGCGTCAGTGATGATCCGTACGTCGGTCACCTTGCCCACTACAGAGAAGAATTCCTCCAGCTCCCGCGCCTTGATACGTGCCGACAGCTGCATGCAGAACACAGTTCGGGCATCGCGCTCCTCAGCCGTAAGTTGCCTGCAACGAAGAATTCAAATCAATTTTACTTTTCAGATATCGTCGTAATGGTGATAAAATCAAGCTGCGCCAAGGTCTACCCAAAAATCATCTATGGAGAATTTGTGTTAGGTGTTAACAATTTGTGTTCGAAGAGCACGTTAAGCTAGATACAAATAATATAATTGGTCGATTGACTAAATTTTATTCATGGGACAAGATTATCTGATAATTAGAAATTTAGCAACTAATAAGATTCGAAGAAAAAATTGTTAAATTTTTCAAAATTTATTTCTGCATGGATAATATCAAATTTAATTAAAGCTTTAATGGACCAACTAACTGGAAAATTACAGGATACTTTCTTATTTTCGCAACTCAACAAGATGGCAGTGTACCACAATACCTCTTAGTTTCGATGTGAATTTCATGACTGGTGCTCCTATTGCGACTCCTCCTTCTGCTGCCACTCCTGTTGCGCCTCCTGCGATCCCTAGAACGGCTCCTAGTGCCTCTAGACTTCCTGCGATCTTTGGACTTACTGCGTGACTTCTTCCTATCTCGCGACTTCGATCGCCTCCTGTCCCTCGACTTACTGACGGATCTTTTTCTATCCCGAGACCTGCGCGATCTGTCTCTAGATGAACGGCGACTTCTGTCACGAGGGCGATCTAGCCTGTCCTTGGAACGCCTCGATGTATCACGATCTTTAGACCGACGATCGCGTGACCTGGATCTCTTGCGATCACGAGATTTGGATCTGCGATCACGGGACTTTGACCTATGACCACGACGCGAAGTATGACGATCTCTTGACCGTGACCGTCGTTTGCTCCTGTCCTTGTCACGATCCTTGCTACTGTCACGGTCCCTCCGCGAACTGCACAGAAACTTTCATTAAGGCAGGGTCCCTAAGTTTCACATAACACAGTAAGTAAAATTTTACAGTATGAACTAAATAACTTTTGAATTTTTTGCAAGTGGAATCCAGATAGAAAAAAATTGACAAAATTTATAAGTAATCAAGATACAACATTTTTAATTAAACACGAAAAATGATGCAGCATAACGACTAAATTTCTCGGGACGGTTGAAAACAAACCTGCTTTTGGAATGTCCATTCTGTTTGGAATCCGAGTCTGCATTGCCGGTTGCTGAGTCATCCTAGAGACAGAAGACACGAGTAACGGCGCCGCCAAGTGAAGAGGAGGGAGAGAAATCATAAAATTTCAGTTAGTTCACTGATCAACTGACTAAATACACAGCCAAAGACGGGTTTACAGGCATGAGTTAGATGGAACACCTTGTGGTTGGCAGATGCCAAGATCTCCACCATGGAATGCAATTAGCATTGCATGCCAAAAGTAGATGGCCAAATGCAAACTCAACTTCATGTAGTAAAAAAGAAGAAGAGGTTCCACAGCAGGTTATTGTAGTGATAAGAATGAGAAACAAATGGTCTCGACAGACATAAGGACTTCTTTCACAAAAATCCGTTATCGTCTGCTAAGAAGATATCATCTACTTATATGTAGCTTCCCAAAAACATGATGGTAGGCAGCTAAGACTTTAGGAGAACTACACCCTCGAGTAACACCCGATTAAACATGGCGGCAGCAAGCTACAGAAGGTGGACAGGTACCTGATCTTCACGCGTCTTCACAATGGCTCCAGATGTAAGTGCAATCCTGCAAAATGCTTTGTTTAGTATTTTGAGTGGATTCACAGACAATGCTTAGAACAAATAATAATTTCAATATGGACAATCTTCACGGCAGAGGAGGTTCAGCAACTCAAGATTTTCTCAACTTGAGGCCAAAGCGGAACAAGAAATTACCGACGACACAGCACGACATTTCCTTGGCCAGCCGAGCAGCCTTTGTGCTCTAGCTTCAAATTAAAACTCCCAATAGCACATCAAGAAGGCTTAGATAGATGCATCCATGACTGATACGTTTAAGCAATATAGTTTGTTCAAATCAAAAAATACAAGTAGGAAATTGATATGAAAATTATCTTTGCATAAATAACAAGTAAAAATCTCAACAGAAATTCATTCGGCACAAATATTGCAATATCGGTCATGAGACGATCAATCTACATTGACAATGACTAAGCCTTTTTGATCGAGTATTAGGGATGCAGCCAAGAGTCCCTCGTAGGAGTGGGGTGGCCACTCGTGGCTGAAGAGATGTCCCTTGCCCAGCATCTGAGGTGGAGAGACCAGGCGGTCAATACCATTGCAGAACGCTGTCCGAACACCAACTTCCTAATGCTTCAACTGCTTTGTACTCTCCACATTTTGTTGACTTTAACCAGGCACTTTTGCACTTAGTATTAATATAATTACTACAAGATTTAATGCTGCTTGCTTGACATTTCCTTTGACATTTAACTCACTAACAATAATTATACCTTGCTTTTCTGATATGTTTACACAGTTTATCTTAAACTTTTGACGAAACAAGTTACAAATTTTGACGACAATAAAAAACGAATCTTGCAAGGCAAAATTTATAGCTTCGTCATCTCTACCAACAAGCAGGCATGGTGTATAATTTTCTTACACAGCATTTTTACTTAAACAAAAATGATCACAATGAAAGGGTAACAAAGTGCCTTTTGTTAAAATTTTACACCAGAAGCATTTACAATTCCTCTGCTGGCCAAAGTCATCACAGGTATAGTGGGTGGTCCATAACGTAACTGGCTACTTATAGCCCCGTATACAAACTTCCCAACTCACACTTTGTTGGGAGTTTCGATGTCCTATTTAATAGGAACATCTTTGCCCTACAGCTAGGGTGACCATGTTAAGTAGGGAAAATTTCTCAAGAAAAGAATAACTTACAACTAACCGAGTACCTGGCAGGAGATGGAGCACGGATTGTGCGCTCATGGCCGTGTTTTAGCATGGTGCTTTGAAGACACTGAATAGCTTTATCTAAAAACAACAGAGAAATGGGAAGATACATCAGCGAAGCTCACCCATAACACTGAGCCTAACGCAGCAGAGCTTACAGTCAACCATAATTCAGAAGTCAGTTAAGCGTTTTTATGACCCAGTGTCAGTATATAGGAAATTCTAGATACATTGTCACGAATCTCTTGCCAAAAACACTTTTGAACACATTAACCTTTTTATAGAAGAAAAAAAAACAATTGACATGACAGAAAATATGCTTTTGCCAGTTTAAATCTGCTGGAGCATAAGATGAAGGAAATATAACTATAACAGCTTATAGACAGAAAATAATTTTTCGAGGCAAGCTAATTACCCTGAGATCTAATGCAGTATATATTTATTTGGCATTAAAAATTTGTCAATATGCAGGTGCATGACAGTAGTGTAGGATAAAAGCACAAGAAATTAACCCAGATTTTAAAGCAGCAAAGAAAATTTGATCATAAATTTGTACACTACTCAAAACATCATTTGACAAAAATGAATAAAAACCTTCATACCCAGGAAAGAGTACAATGTAAAATTTAAATTAAGATAAATAAATACATAGTTGCTTAGACATCACTAATATCTTCATAAAAAGGGACATGAAAATTCAACAGAAAGAAAAAAATCTCAATCTAATAAATAATTATTTACTATGCTGGTTTGAGAAGGCAGATAGAAGTCATGTTAATGAATAACTTTGCAGCCACATCAAAATACGTACTTAACACGGATACTCAAGAAACTAAATCCTTCACTTCCAGTTCAAAATATTACCTTCAAAATAAATCACAGGCATAGTCAGATTCAATAAGGCATACAATTATATTTTCAGGTACTAATCAAGGGAAAAAATATTCTTTAATCTAAAAACACACAACTTATTAACAAAGTGATGGAATTCTTAATAGCCATAACATCATAAATAAACTCAACTCACATCTTTCTTGTAAGGAGCCTCCAGCATTGCATCAACATCAAGCTCGTCTGCCATCTCGTCCTCTGCAACAAAATTTATCATTAGTAAAGTGAATTGTTGACCAGAAAAAAATGCCATGACATAAGATGATATTTCAACCTTCAAGTACATAAATGATAGTTTGTTACTTGAAAATTGTTAATTGAAACATTCCAGCTATAGACCAACAACAACATCCATTTCAAGCCTTTATAATCAACGAGATGCTCATTGATCATTTATATTCCCTCCTGAACTCTCTGGTGTCACAACAGATGTGACATGCAGATTTAGGAGCATTAAACCTTTTAATTGTTTTCAAAGATTTAAAACATTTAAAATTTTAAATCTATCCAGATGATAGAAAAAACACTCTACTTTTTGCAAATATTGCAGCCCCCATATCATATCACTTAGGCAGGTGTATTTCTCAAGTCACATATTTTGGTTCACTTGATTCCATGAAATTTAAAACTTGTGCATTTCAGCATCACATTCCAGCTAAAAAATCTGGTAAAGTGACTATACCTAAAACGTTTTGGTAAATTATTTCATAGTTGTGGTCAGATTCTATACAATATAATGGGTAGAGCAGGAGTGGAGCAGAAACTTGCAGGTTCAATTGAACAAAACTAATAGTAGAACCTTGGTTAATTGTACGAATTCTGCATCTAGTATTGGCAACAAGCCAGATTTAGCCTGTATTGTATGCTGGTATCACTATTACTATGTGTAATATAAAAAAGGAGAGGCAGAAGGGCGTTTTTTTACCATTTTTCATTAGCTGTTGCTTCAAATAATAAATTAGGGAAGGGACATAGGATTGGGGAGGAGAGGGTTGTCAGCAGGAATGGGCATTTGTGTTGCATTCATGGGTGGCTTCTTAGCTTCTGTCAGTTTTCCCCCAAGTTTTGTGTCAAACTGCATAATTTCTTAAAGCAAACTGCATAATTTCTTAAAGCAAAAAATTATCACTAAAAATATCCCTCACAAAAGACCAACCACAGCCCCTGGTTTGCTTTGGCGGCCATGCAATCATGACTGCCCATCACTACTATTTAACCATAATTTCATACACAGCATCACCCCAATTAGGAATAATGAATAGAAGTTCCTAAAATCATGATAAAAAATTGTTTCAAGGCTGATTTTAAAAAAATTACAGGAAAAAAGCTGGTTTTCTTGCTTTTCTCAGAAAAATTGAGAAAAAACACAGGAATTGGAGGAACTAGCCAGATGTATGGGTGGTTTTTGCCCAATTTTCCAGTTAAGGCATGAATTAGAATCATGGTCAAGAAAAAGAATTTGAGCATTTAGATCAAAGCTTTCTTTCTGCAGTTTTTCAAAGTTGCAACTATCAATTTCACTCAATTGATACTCTATCTGTTGCATTTAAAAGATGCTACTATCCATTTCACTCTATTGACTTTTTTTGGGAGTTTTTCAAAGATACAACAATCAATTTTATTCTATTGATATTCTTTAAGCAGCTTCTTTAAAGATCCTTCCTCCAACTCTATGGTTGAATTCAGTCCTGAGTCAACGTGTTGATACATCCTCCATTTCCCTGATACTGTGCCTATTTCTGATTGCAATATTGTAAATATTTTCAATTGTGATATTGAGAATATTTTCTATTTTGATATTGTGAATATTCTCAATTGTGAAACATCTTAGTTCTAACATCTTGAGGTGTGCAGTTCTAATATCTTTAGCACTGTAAGCCGTGAAGCTCAAATTATGAACAAAGGAGTGATGTGTTCTTGAGTTGAAGTCATACCGGCATGGCATCAAACCAGATATTCTAGAATCAATTCATTTTTAATTTCCACTCCTACTCAAGATTTAAACAGATTTCTTATGTGTAATAATGCTGGTATTCATGATACTTTACTGATCTTCTTATAGGACTCAAAAATGAACTTGAGTCTAAAAAAAGTGACTTGTATGCAATCATGGACATTCTTTTTTCATTCAAAAGTGGCTTCTGTCCAACTTTCCCAGGGTGCACACTGCAGAAAGTGGGTGAATATCAAAAGATATTTGGCAACACATCAGCAGCAAAATTTACGCCCTCTGAAGATCTTGCCAATACATTTGGATTGAAATTATTGCATTTTAGAAATTACTTCAAAATTATTGCAAATCTGAAAGACTGCAAGAGCACACAGTAAGGTTTCCGGTACCATAAAATGGGGTAACTTTGACCACTTTTTTTTTGTTCAAAATGAGTCCATTTTTTTACTAGATAAGTTAAACTTAAATTGAAACATGCAAAATACAGGTCTATACTCTAGCTTTACTCACCACAAGTTGCAGACTCCTGCCTCTCATAGTTTTGATGTAATTTCAAAAAAAGTGATGGTCTTTGTTACCCCAGCTCTTGGGGTTTCTTTGACCGGGTGGTAAAATCAATTTTATTTTTTTGGTAAAATAACTCCAGGTTGTGGTGCATTGTAGTAGAACTCTTCTAGTTACATATGCAGAAGACAAATTTTAGGAGAGTGTCATAGTTTGCAAATGGGGGGCGCCGCCCCTCAATGGGCGAAATGTGACCACCTAATGGCAGCCGTGACGGGGTAACATTGACTGGTTTGGAAATTAAGTTAAAATTACAATATATAAGACTCTGTAGAGTCTGAAACATAAAGAAAAAATCCATTAACAGGCGTATCAAACATAAAATATGTTATATAAGTACCTAGGGTAATTTTAACTTAATTTCCAAGCCGGTCAATGTTACCCAATGCAAACTTTTTAAATCTTTCTATTGTGTTACGTAGCCTCAGTATTAGGCCTTTGATGGCCATTGACAAAATTTTTCTATGCCAAATCGTTTTTGAGTTTGGGGGTTTTTGTTAAAAAAACAAAAAGTGGTCAAAGTTACCCTGCCGGTCAAAGTAACCCCATTTTATGGTATGCTGAATGGATCAGGATGCAGTGAAGCTGAAGCTTGTCTGGAAACCAGATGCAATGTATATAACTCTTGCAGTGTGTGGAGAGTAAGGGATATACTATCAAAGTTACTTGCAGCACTTTTTTATTAAAAATTACCCAGCGACGGATCTTGAATATGGCTGGCAACGCTTTGGGCTACAAATCCATAAGTTGGCAATACTGCTTGCACCCTTGGCAAGGGTGTAATAGTGACAAGGCAGAGAGTTTTTTAGACTCTCCCTCAAGTTCATTTTTGAGTCCTATAAGTAGAGTTTGTAGACCAGTAAAGTATCATGGATACCACATACCAGCATTATCATACTTAAGAAATTGGTTTAAATCTTGAGTTATTGAGTAAAATAAACTGAACCAATTCCAAAAAAGCTCTGGTTTGCCACTATGTCATTCATAGGGTAAACGCGGTAGGTATATCCCGACACAATAAGGACTTAGCAAAAAATTAATGGCTATGAAAAAATAACCGTATGTGCAACTCGAGTTCTGTTTGCTTTACATCACTCTCAAAACACCGCAATATGCGCCAGCAACAATGAAATGTCACACAGTGTTGCCATATTTATTTAAAAGCCTTTAGAATGCAAACTTACCAAATCCATATATTCCAATGCTGTGTGTGACTAAATTGGGCATTTTGTGAGACTAATTCCAGCCGCGCTTCAAACTCTACTAATTTGTAATTCCGACCCTCTTGTGTTCAAATTACGATCGCTGTGTGAGCTGTATTGGAATACAACACAGCTCAAATTAGAACACTACATAAATAGGCTTTTAATTAAGAAAATTTTAATTTTTTCAATTAATTCCAAGCTGTGTCAGAATTTGTTTTTATGTGTCTTAAACCTTCTCTTAACTTAATCATCTATTAATTTATTTATGACTAGAAATCAGAAAATACAAGTATACTTAAAGGATTCCTGATATATTCACAGAGACACAGTCTTATTTAACCCTTTACGCCCTGAATTTCTGGGATGAAAATCATAAAATTCACTTTTTCGGTTTTAAGTCTCGCTTCAAAGCTGACATTCTGACCTATCCAACGGTGCCAAAATCGTCTCTGTACGTTGATTTATGCCTTGACGACAGTTCGTGAAAAGGTTAGGGGTGGGGGAGTTCTTTAGCATTTAATATGGGCAAAAATTACTGGTCGGGCACATAAATAGACAACCTGGAGACGCTGCTCTTTAGTTACCCGGCTGCTGTCGTGTGGGATGGTGCTCATGCAGTCGTTCCCACCATCCTTGACTGAATTTTGGCTCCAGTAATGTCTAGTCTTGCATCTATGTCACCTTGAATGCCTATTTTGAG